TCGGTTCTTTCCCTGGTCAAACGAATAAGAGCTGTGACAAGAGTTGTAATGCTAGCTGTACACACTGCGCAACAAAGCGATCCTCCTGCCTCAGCCTCCCGAGTAGCTGGGACTACAGGCATGCACCACCATGCCCGGCTAATTTTTTCTATATATTTTTAGTTGGACAATTAATTTCTTTCTATTTTTAGTAGAGACGGGGTCTCACTCAGGCTGGTTTAGAACTCCTGACCTTGAGCAACCCTCCCGCCTCGGCCTCCCAGAGTGCTAGGATTACAGGGGTGAGCCACCGCGCCCGGCCCGCTTTTGCCTTTTTTCTCAAATTTTTTCCCACCTTTGAAGAGGGGACCAGCCATCCTGACCCACCTGTCCCGGCCCCCCGAGGTGTTCTCCAAGTCCCCCCACACGCAGGTTCCACCAGGCCCTCCTGTTTAAGGACAGGAGCAAACTCAGGCAAAACGTCTAACAAGAACGAGGGCCTTTGCCCGATGTATTTTCTGCAAAGAATCAGAGCGAGAAAATCACTTTCCTCTCAGATCCTGAATTGGAAAGTCTCCTGCTCTTTCCTGGATAAATCCGAGGTGATGTGTCCTCGTTCTCCGCTTGTGATGCACACTGGGCCCTCCTGAATAATTCCGTCTCAGGAGACTTATTTTCTGCTCCAGCTTAACATGCTACCTTATAAATAGATCATCATAGAGTCAAGTTGTCCCCTGAAATTGTAAGTAATAAATTGGGTAAAATTCATGCCAGGAAAATTCTAAGAACCTAACGCTCAAGAAATGAAACTGAAGGAGGTCATTCAAAGAAGTCATTGTTGAGGTAAAAGGTTTTAAAAATTGTTTTGCAGAAATAGAATTTCCAAGGATTGGATCAGCGAGTTCCCTGGACCCGCCCAGAGTGGGCTGTCTCCCTTTCTGGGCTCGGGTGAAGGGTTTCAGCCCCCTGTCTGTGGCGGGTCTCCCACCCACACACAGGTGAGTGTGTACGGCCGCGTCTGCATTCACGAATATTCATGCATGCTCGTTAAATATTTTTTGTGAGTTGATTTATGTATATATGAGAGCAAAGCTTGTGATTAAAAAAATTTAAAAGCCGTAAGCTGGGCACGGTGGCTGAGCCTGCAATCCCAGCACTCTGGGAGACCAAGATGGGAGGATCGCTTGAGCCCAGGAATTGGAGACCAGCCTGGGCAACATAGCGACAGCCCATGTCTACAAAATATTAAAAAGTGAGCCAAGCTCGGTAGCATGTGTCTATAGTCCCAGCTACTCGGGAGGCTGAGGCAGGAGGATGGTTTGAGCCCAGGAGTTTGAGGTTGCTGTGAGCTAGGCTGACACCACTGCACTCTAGCCTGGGAGACAGAGCAAGACCCTGCCTCAAAAAAAAAAAAAAAAGTCAGTGGTATAAAGGAAGACAACACAAACAATAAAACGTCCCCTATCCCCTGCACGGCTCCTCCCAGGCCACTCCCCAGCGACCACACATCCTTGGCATCTGTGCCTGCGTTCTGCCAAGCGGTCGGTCACTCTGCCGCACTCCCACCCTTTTTAAAAGCGAGCCTGGACAGACGCGTGAGCATAATGCAAGGACAATCCCTAAAAGTGTTGTCACTGCGCAAATGTTACCTGCATTACATATAACAGACACGGCAAGGATGGCCTCCCAGAGGGGGTACCATGTGGCTCCCCGCCAGCGGGCTCTGGGGTGCCCGCACGGGACTGCCAAGCTTCCTCCCGTGTGGGGGTAAATGGTGCCTTCTTTCATTTGAGTTTCTTTAATTATGAAAGTGTCGTTAATTCTGGAAAGGAAAACAGGAACGGAGAAACCGCTTACTTTCTCATTAGCACCGACACCGGCCCCCGGCGGGCTGTCGGCCGCCTCTCCCTGGACATCTCTCCACTGCATACGGACAGGGACCACGAGGAGGTCCCAACAGAAGTCCCCTGTGGCCTTTACAGGGGGCCACACAGAGGCCCAGAGGGGAGCAATGGCTGCACAGGACTCCAGAGCCCCTCATGTAAGATGTCACGCCCACTGCCCTTGTCCCCAGTCCCCACCGCCCTCCCACACAGAGACAGCAGAGTGACCAACTGTCATCCTGGGAGCATCGGCGCCAGGCTGAGTGGAAAGATGCCAGGAGCCCCGTCTTCCTCCACGGCAGGTGAGTCTACAGAAAGGACAGGTGGAAGGTAACCTGGGGGGCTGATCCTGGGAGACACGGAACCTGCAGGGTTAGGAGCCCACCAGAGGGGAGTCTGCAACGCCAAAGCCAGCTCAGGACCAGAGAGTTGTGACAAAGACAGATGCCTCTTCTTGTTGTCCAAGGAAGACCTCAGAAGGCTCAAGGGAGGCCTCCTAAAAGTTTAAAAAAAAAATCAAACAACCAACATCTGAAGGTCAACAGCTTCAAAAAGAAGTAAAGAAAGTGTTCTCCCTTTTGAGAAACTGTTTATTACCCGCCACACACGCCGGCATCAGAATGCCACGGGAAGCCTTGGTCACATCTCTCCACGTCTCCGGTGGTTCATCTTATTTTGAAATTCAGGCATTAAACTGGTGAATGCTCATGAAATCTCAGAGTGGTAAAAGCTGCCCCAGGCCTTACCCCAAAGCCAGAAATCATAAAAGAAAAGCTGATAGACTTAGCTACAGAAAAGTTTCAAACTTGTGCGCAGCAAACAAAACAAACAAAAAAACTAAATCCAAAGTCAAAAGAAAGATGACAACCTGGGTAAAATAAATGCAATGCACACAAGGTGTATGGCAGAGACAGGCTAAATACTTTCATATAAAAAGCTCTTAGAATCCAACAGGAAAAGACACGCAGCCCAGTAGAAAAATAAAAACTGGGCAAAGAACCCATACAGGCAATTTTCCAAATGGCCAATCATAACATGATGTTCAACATCACCAGCAGTCAAAGAAATCAAAACTAAAGTGATGAAAAGTCCTGTTTTACCTCTCAGATTGCCAAAGACGAAATGGCATGACACCACCACGGACTGGCCGGAACACAGCCACACTCACCCGCCGGCAGAGGACGGCAAAGTGGCCCCACGTTTCTGGGGGCATTGGCAAAAGACATCATGGTCTTTGGCCCCACACTCCGCTCTCGGGATCTTGAGCCTAAGGAAATAAATACTCAGAGCGGCTCCAGGGACATAGCATCAGAGATGCTCGCCACACCACTGCTTTAAACACCGCGATGAAACATGTCAAAATATCAATAGTCGTATCTCTGGGAGATTACACTATTAATTAGATCAGTTCCCCCAAATTTTGGTAATGAAAAGGTATTACTTTATAATGAGGGAAAAAAGCTTATTGAAAAAACAAGGCATTAAAACAATGTTTTAATGGGTTTCTTGACCGCAAAGTTGGCCCCCAAATTCCCCAGGCTGGCACGACTGGAAATAAGTATCTCCCTTTCCCTCCTCTGGAGAAGAAAGGAAGTCTCGGTTTCTGATGCTATCAAAGCCTCTGACACTTTCGAGACAGGAAGCCAACCCCAGTTCCTCAGCAGACACCCTCCTCAGAGGCCTAGGAGGTCAACAGCACAGGTCCTCGTCCTGCCTGCGGTCAGCCCCTGCCACAGTGGGCACGGGGGGCGGGGCAGGGATGTCTGGCAGCACCTGGGATGCCACCAGCCTTGGGCACATCTCTCTCCACTGTTCAAAAAAAAAATAAACTGGAAAGATTTCCAAGGTCACAAGGTCAGTGAACAGCAGAGACAGAAACAGAACCCGACCTACAGCCCAGGGCACGTTCCTAGAAAACAGTGCCCCTGTCCCCACACCTGACCCCCCCCCCAGTTCCCCAGCCTCCTGGCCCGGGGGCACGCTTCCCTTGCGCCCCTGCCACACGACCCCCACCCTCAGCCCCAGGACCCTTGGCCCCGAGTTAGGGTGAGGCAGGGAGGGAGCTCAGACACACATCTGCATCACCAAACCCGCAGCCAAAGGCCGCTGGAGCCCGCGCGGCGCGTGAGCGCGGGGACCGGGGGACTCGCAGGGGCGCGGGCTTACCCACGCTCCGCGCCCGCTGCAGGCGGGGAGTCCACCTCGGCGGCGCGCCCCGGCCCCGCGAGCGCTTTCCCACGGCCACGCCCCCGCGGGCCAGCTTCCCGGCCCCGGGGACCCGCTGCGCCCCGAGGGCCCGGCCGCGGCGCGACTGGCGGGCGGGCGGCGCGCGGCGGGCAGCGGCAGCGGGCAGCCGGGAGCGGGAGCCGGGAGCCGAGCGGGAGCGGAGCAGGCAGCCGGAGCCGGGGGAGCGGGGAGCGGCAGCGGGAGGCGGCAGCGGGCCGCGCGGGGCAGGCGCAGCCTCGGCGCCTCCCGGGGCGCTCGGGCCCTCGGTGGCGCGGCGGCAGGTGGGCGCGCTCTCGCGGGCGGGGGTCCGGCCGGGCCGCGCGCCTCCCCCGGAACTCGGCCGTGCCATTCCCATGATGCCCAGCCACCGGGCACGGCTTCCGGAGCGCGGCCGCCGCCGCCGGCGCCCGGTAGGTCGCGGGGAGGGTGGCCCGGGGGTCGCCCGCCCCGCCCCGCCTCCCGCGCGTCTCTCCGCGCAGCCCGGCGCGGCGCGGGCGGCGGCGCGCGGGAGCGGGCCGGCCGGACGGCCGCGGCCCCTCCCCGCGCCGGCCGAGGCGGAGCGCGCCGGCCGCCGCCTCACCCGCCCGGCCGCCCGCTCTCCCCGGACGCGGGGCGGGCGGCGCGGCGGGCGGGCGCCGGCCGGCGGGCGAGGTGAGCGAGCGCGGAGGGGCCGGCCGGGGCGGTGCGCCGTGCAGGCCGCGGCAGGCCGGCGGCGCGGGGTCCCCGGGGAAAGGGCGCCGCGGCGGGCGGGGGACTGTCTGCCGGGCGCAGGGGCTGGCCCTGCCCCGGGAGGGGGTCGCGGTCTCCGAGGCGTCTCCCGGCTCCCGCCTCCGCGCGCGCCTAGCCCTCCGCGCGTTCCTCGAGCACCGGCGGCCGCGCGCCGGCCCAGGTGAGGCGCAGGTGAGGGCCCGCGGCGGGGAGCCTCCGGCCTGCTCTGGGCGGCCGCTGCCCTTCGAGAAAGGCCGAGGGCCTGGCGGGTTTCTGGACTGTCGCTCACGCCCTACGCCAGGCGGAGCTTCCGGGAGGGTCGCGGAGCTCCCAGGCCCCAAGCTCCCAAGTCCTGGCATCCCAGAAAAATAGCTCCGGGCGTCGGAGACCGGCTCGGAGGCCTGACCTCTTCCCCAGGGGGTGTATATTCGCGCTCACCTGGCCGGGGACCAGGCTGCTGCTCCGGGGCTGGGGTGGCCGCCCCCGCAGGGAGATGAGCCCCCTCGCACTCCAGGCTGTGAGTAGCCCCTGCCCAGGTGGGAGGTGAGAGCGGGGGCAGCTGTGAGCGTCTCCCCTGGCCAGTCTGCGGACACGGGAAAGGCGTCGCAGCTTTGCTGGGGGAGCTTGTGATCCTGTAAAATCTCAGCTTCTGGCAGGCTGGGAACTGAATTCTAGCCCACGCCCACTTCAGGTTGGCTGGAGAGGGCCCTCCTGCTGCCGCCTCCCTCCTGGACCGCTGCTCCTCCTCCCTGGCATGCAGACCCTGGCCTCCCCTAACCCTGGGGTGGGGGAACCCCCATTTGGGAGGTAAGAACACGAGCTGAACCGCTTTTTGGTAAATGGAGAAATGTATCTGGGGACATTTCTCGAGGGGAGCCATGCTGTTAAGGTGACAAGGGTTTGAGTGGGGTTTTGTTCTCCCCAGAAGGTTGGTGTCTAGGCTGAGAAGATGGCCAGTGCCCTCCAGCCCCGTGCAGGACGGCAGCTGGACAAAGCCTGAGCCCCTGGCGTGGGCCCACAGTTTGATACGGTTTAGGGGAGTTTTCCGGAATGGTTCATCTCATGTAGTGGATTGTTTCAAAGCTGCAGTCTGCCTCTGGGACACTCCCCCCAGTTTTTTAATCTCATTCTTGGGCTAAGTAATTTGACAGTCGGGAAAACTGTTCACGAGGAGTCCAGTCTCTGCAGTCATTTAAAGGCCCTGAACATGTTTGTGGAGATGAGAGTGTTATTCCTCGGGGGAACTCCCTCCCCCCAACTTTGTCACCTGGTGTAAAAATCATTCCTTGTTTGCCCTGGGCCTGTTTTTAAGGTAGTGTGGCTGCTTAAAGAGTTAATGGTCTTGATTTAGGCTCTTCACAGTCCAAGGCTCATGCAAATGTTTTGTAATTTCTGTAATTTTGCCATGGCAATTTGAATCATTAAGGTGGGCACAGTCCCCTAGCCAGTGCAAGAGCCCCTCCCCCCACTGCAGGTGACTTTGTGGAGGAAGTCAGGACTGTAGCTGGTTGCTTGACTCTGAGACGTACCCCAGCCCCGCCCCGTCAGCATCAGATCTGCTGTCCAGGATGGCTGCGGATTAGCTGTGGTTAAATGTATTTGGTCTCAGGGTAAGGCCATGTGCTTTCAAAATTTACTTTTGAGCCCTTAAGTTGACGATATTTCTTGCCAAAAAACATATAAATTTTAGCTCCAGCCTCTAATCAGATGCCTCTGATTCTCTTTAATTCTGATAGTCAAAAGTCTGTTTAAAAAGCAGGCAAAGGACGCTTTGGCGTGCGAGTGGAGCGATGAAGACCGCATCCCGGCAGCGTTCGGAACATCACAGGGAACCTGGATTCGAAAAGCATCTCAAGTAATTGCAATAAATTCTCACTTCTCAGATTTACCTTTAAAGCAAAAATTGGTAACAGCAAAAGACTTGCTTCCGAATTTGTCACACCTGCTGGTTAACTGCTGGGCCATGCCTGTGTCTGGGAGGTCGACACCAGATTGTGTGCCTGCCAGGAAGGCAGCTCCGGGTTAAGTGGAGAACACTCCGGGTAGAGAGGGACGCGCAGCCGCGGCAGAGCGAGCCCGCAGGGCAGTTGCAGGCGCCCATCGAGGCCCCCCAGGTGGCAGTGGCCTCACAAACTCCATTCCTGAAGGGACTTCTGTTTCCTGTGTCCATAGCCTTGCGGGGCTCTCCTCTTGGATTTGAACTGCTTTCCACTCCAATTTGGGGGGTGTAGGCAGGAGGGGACCAGCAACACGTTAAGAGTTATCGGCTGTATGATGCGCCCTGTCCGTTACGTTCCTCCGGCAGTGGCGGTCCTCAGGCCTGGCCTACGCAGGCCGTTTGGGAACAGGTCTTGAGAATGTTCCCGAGAGCAGCCCAGCAGTCCTGCTGAGGCAGCCACACCTGGCTGTGACACGGAAGCACAGGACGAAAGGGGCACGCGACTGTGTTTGGGACAACTTTTAGTTAGTTAGCTAAAAATAATGCTACGGCCCCATGAGACCATCTGGCAAATATACATTCCACGTTTTAAGATGAAAAGGCTTTAGTAAAAACACGTCTCTCAGATGTTTGGGGAAATAATTTCTGAGTTGCTCACATCATGCAACTTTTTGTTCCAGAAGCTTATTGGTCGTTGGAAGAATGAACCTACCCTCGAAGTCTTGCTGATGCTGGATTCATAGTAGCCATTTTTTTTAACCTGCAGAGAAGCATTTGTAGACTTCATCTCTTGGGCACTGCTTGGCAACCTTTCAAGGTAAATCAAACCTCTGTTCTCTTCTTAGGGAGAAGGTGGAAGCCCAGAGTAAGAAAGGCATGGACAGGGAGGTGACAGGTGTGCTGGGTGGCGTGGGACATTTTCTTATCGAATCTGCACAGCAGCCCTGGGCGGAAAGGAGTAAATTGCCCCTTTCACGTCTGAGTAAACTGAGGCCCAGGAAGCATGAGTAACTTGCCCAGGGATGCCCAGCTGGATGGCGGGTTCTCACCCGGGTGTCTGGGCTTCATAACCCCGGCATGCTATTCCTCTGTGGCCGCACATGGGGTTAACTGTCCAGCTGATTCCTTAGGTGCATCACGCCCATGTGCTTTCTTTCCTCCCAGGATGTGACACCAGCAGAATAGGACAGCATCGCCTCTCTGCGCGTCCCTCCCCGTCTGCTAGAATGTTTCTCATGAACGCCCCTCCAGTGGTTGCTCTCCAGTCCAAATGGGAGACCTTTGGACCACCGGGGAGCTTTAGGTTTCCCGGGTGCTTCTCGGAGTCGAAAGAGGGCGTTGAGAGAGCTTCCGTGAGTGCCAAAGTGCAGATGATCATCAGCTCGCTGCAGCGCGACGAGGCTGCTCTGGGCATGAACCATGAGCGTGCGCCGCCCAGAAGCCAGAGGGCAGAGAGATGCCAAGACGCCAGGCTGGCCGCCAGTCCCGCCATGTGCAAAGAGCAGCCTCCCTTTGCTGCCTGTGGTCTTGCTGCTAATTTCGACCCCATGGGGGAGGAGGAAGCTGCAGGCTTTGGTCCCTTGGCCCTGGACTCGGACAGTGACGATTCTGTGGACCGGGACATCGAAGAGGCCATCCAGGAGTATCTGAAGGCGAAGAGTGGAGCCACACAGCCCGTGTCCTGCGGGGCCCAGCGTTTTGGGGCCACGGGTGGGGGCGGTCGATGCAAACCAGAACCTGCTCACAGCAGCACCCCAACCACCCTGTGTGCCCCAAAACTTGCACCTGGCTCAGGCGGCTTCCCTGGCATCCACGTGGGAGCCAGCATGGACCAAGGCTCTGCCTCCCCTGCTAGCGTGAGCAGCGACGACTCCTTTGAACAGAGCATCAGGGCAGAAATAGAGCAGTTTCTGAACGAGAAAAGACAGCACGAGACCCAAAAGTGTGACGGGTCTGTGGACAAGAAACTAGATCCCAACGGAAATTCAGCCAAATCACCGTTTAAATCCGGCAAAGAGCTGGCCGTTAAGGGGGCGCTCCGGCAGGATCCCACGGGAGCCTGTAAGGAGTTTGTCTTCCGCAAACCCCCCAGGGTAGCCAAGGCGAACGCACAGCCCAGGAGCCTCAGGTCTAAGGCCGCGGCCGGGCCGGAGAGCGTGGGCAGCACCAAGCCGGCAGCCCCCAAGGCCCCCGGTCCCTGCCGCCCTGCGGAAGCTACGCAGGGCAGAGGCGGGGTTAGGAGGAATGTGGGCGCCGCGAGGCGGGGAAAGCGGGCGAGGAGCGCGGCCCTGGCGCCGGAGGCGTCCGACTCCAGCAGCGACGACGGCATCGAGGCGGCCATCCGGCTCTACCAGCTGGAGAAGACCAGGAAGGAGGCCGGCGGGGACCCGCCTCCGAGAGCCCAGCGCCGGGAGGAAAAGAGGCCCGACCCGCCCGCGGACGGCACAGGCAGCGCTGCGAAAGGTGCCTTGCCCGACACGCACAGGAGAGCACCCAGCAGGAAGAAGCCCGTGGCCGCGAAGCCTACGGACCCCTGCCCGGGGGGCCTTGACGCGGACCCTCCCTCCAAGCTACCGAAGGAAACCAAAGCTGCCCCCGCGGCGAGCACAGCTTCCAGAAGCGAGTTTGCGGAACGGCCCTCGTGCCGGGCAGACACGTCCGCCGAGCTGATGTGCGCTGAAGCCATCCTGGACATCTCCAAGACGATCCTGCCAGCCCCCGTGGAGGGTGGCGACAGGGTGCTGCCCACCAGCCCGCTCTTCTGCTCCCCCAGCGTGCCTTCCTGCCCCGGCGGCGACAGCAGCCCTGTGGACAGCGACGACAGCATAGAGCAGGAAATCCGGACATTTTTGGCCCTCAAGGCGCAGTCCGGGAGCTTGCCGGCCAGGCCAGACGGTGGCCCCCAGGCTGCACAGGGCCCGCCGGAGCCTCCAGGCCCCAACAGCCAGGCTGGTGGACCCAGGGCCCTGGTCCCTAAAACACCAGACCTGTCGCCCAGCTGCAGAAGGAAACGTAGGGGCGGCGGCCACGCGGTGAGGCCATCCACACCCAAGAAGACGAGGGAAGTGGCGAAAGAGGGTGGCCAGGATGCTGACCACGGCACAGGGACAGCGGAGCCCGGCTATGGGGGACAAGACCCACCCGGCCAGGGCAAAGCCGGCGAGGCCCCCGGGCGGGAGGGCGAGGCCACAGCGGCCAGTGGAGCGCCCGTGCCGCAGGGCCACCGCAACACAGCGGAGACGAGGGGTGTGGATGAGAAGGAGAGCTCTGAGGACAAGAGCAGCTCGCTGGACAGTGACGAGGACCTCGACACAGCCATTAAGGACTTGCTAAGGTCTAAGCGGAAGCTTAAGAAGAGGTGCAGGGACCCCAGGGCCGGGTGCAAGAAGAAGGTCAGGTTCAGCACCACCGAGACGCAGTTTTTGGATAAGCTAGGCGGGTTCCGGAGAGACTGGAAAGACAGAGACCCACCGGTGCTGAAAAGCTGCCTCTCCAAGTCCAAGAGAGACAGCGGAGAGAGCCCCGTGAAAAAACCTGCCAGCGTCTTCGGCAGTGTGACAGAGAGAGCCAAGCCGGAGGGTGCTGGGGACCAAGATGTGGCGCTGGCCTTCCGGTTAAGGAGGAATGCCTCCGAGGGGACGCTGCTCCCGGGTGATCACCAGGGCCCGGCTCCCTGCCCCAGCTCCATGTCTGACGACAGCAGTTCCGTGGACAGCGATGACAGCATCGAACTGGAGATTAGGAGGTTTTTGGCAGAAAAGGCCAAGGAGTCGGTGAGCAGTTCGGAAATTCACGCAGAGGGCCCCATGGCTCTCGGCACGGGGGCCCCAGCCAGGCCAGAGGGGCCGGGCAGGAAGGAGCCAGCCCCGCAGCCCGGCGTGTGCACTCGGAGCCAGAGGGCCAAGGGGGCCCCCCAGCCGGCCCAAGGACTGCGGGGCGCAGAGAGAGCCGGAGCGCAGAGTGCAGCCAGCCTCTTCAGCCCCGGCGGGAAGGGCCCTGCCGCTCCGGCCAGGTGTGACCTGGGGCCGCCCAGGGGCCCCGGTGGAAATGTCTCTGCCAAGGGGTCTCCAGCGAGTAGGAGAAACGTCTACGTCCACAAAGACCAGAGCCCTCGCGGGGCGGAGCCTGCTGCTACCGCGGAAAGTGCTTTCGGTCAGCTGCCCGGCTGTGCCAAAGCGGGCACCGAGGCAGGAGGGGCCGGGGGTACCTTTCATGTGGGTTACGGGAGCCGGAGCCTCCTGACTCCCAGCTCGGGAGCCGAGAGGGACACTCGACCCCAGGCTGACCTCACCCTGCCTTGGAGCGACTTCACCCACCAGAGCAGGCTGCCCAGCCCATGGGCGCTGAACTCGGAAGGCAGAGACTCTGCGTGGAGGGGGGTCCTGGGGGGTGAGAGGGAGAAGGGGCCCGAGGGCGCCCCCAGAGGCCCCCCCAGCCTGCCCTTTGCGGGCTTCTCCCCGCTGCTGTCCACCCAGCTTTTCCACTTCGGAAAGAGCGTGCCCTGGGGGGCCAAGCCCGCCGGCCTCTTCAGCCCCCACCCGGGGCTGCCTCTGCAGGGCCCGTCCTTCTCGGCCTTCAGGGAGGCCCAGGCCGGGCCCAGCCCCGTGTTCGGGAGCCCACGCCTGCTGGGCAAGGACAGCGGGCCCTGGCCGTGCAGGAAGGCGCAGGCCGGCCTCGCTCTGCACGACAGGAGGAGCTCGGGCCCGGAGGAAAGCGTCTTAGACCTGAGGTACCGCCGAACGGGCACGCACGGCCAGGACCAGGAGGCCCTGGGCAGTGACGCCAGTGACTTCAGTGACACCTCCGTGGAGGATGGTGGTGGCCGCTCAGTAGTGAAGGGCAAAGCTCTCAAGTTGTGAGTAAGCTCCCTGGGTTTCCTGGCGCTACGGGAAGCGGTGCGTGCGTGCGCGTGCCTGTGCACGGGCTGGGGGGGTGCTCGGGAGTCAGGGCGGGGGAGACGGAGCCCGCACACGCGGCCCTGCGTGTATATATGTACACTGACGCGGAACGACGTTTTTATTTAACAGATGTGTCCTGGTAAATTTGATTTTTGTAGCTTTTTGTAAATTATTTAAAGTGCTGTAAAAAATATTTTTGGAACATGTTGTCGTTGACTTTTGTAGGGCGTTCCTAACTGCAGTTTTCTGCGGTCTGCTTACAAGTCTTAGATTAGCAAAGGTTTGGTTCCTCCCGTCACAGCCGGGTTCAGAGAGACTCTGAGAGCGACAGTCGCTGGCCAGCTGGGGAGACGTCGCGCTGTCCGTCCCTGAGGTGGGTGGCGCTCACCTGCCCGAGAATCGCTGAAACGCCCAAAGGTGCCCGCTGGGAAGCTCCCGGGACAGCACTTTTTGTACAAAGGACCCCCGCCCCCGTCCCTTGAGGCCAGAGCCTGTCTTCTGAACTCTGCAGCCACAGCCTTCGGTTGGGAAAATGTCTCGAAGCACAACAGCCAGCCCCAGGCTGGCTGGGCCAGGGAGAGGGGTCGCTCTGCCGCCTGGCCCTGAGCTCCGGTCGGTTAAGTCTGTTCAGTCACTAGATGATTCTAACATCTAAATAAACCGCTTTTTATATGGGAGTCCCGTTCTTCATTTCTAACCCTGTTTCTGAATTTCCCTTTTCTTGATTTACGCACACAAATAAGCATCGCGTAGAGCTGCGTTGGTTTTGGTCCCCGGACACCGTGGCACTGACATGCGAAGCCTGGTGACTGGGAACCAACCTCCCCGTGGCTGCCCTCGGAACTGGAGCCCAGTCGAGGGGTGCCCAGACAACAGAGCCCAGCCTTTGGTGGCTTTCTGTGGGCCTCCCTCCCTGGGCAGGACGGGAAGGGCCCTTGTCCTGCACCGAGGCCTGGTCAGAGGCAGTGGCTTTGGTGCTCAGCACTTGGGCTGAGCAGTGCTGCCCGACACCCTGTGCCTTCCGCTCTGAGGCCACCGCGGTGCCCGTGGCGGCTGTGGGGACAGAAGCTGGGCCGGGCACTGATGGGTCACAGCGTTTACATTGTGATTGTCCAGCAAACTGTCACCGGTTGCCTGGGTTTACGACTCAACGTCCTGATCTAGCTGCGATGCAGGGTTTGCTGTGCAGCTGAATTTTGTCGACGTTCTAACACACGTGAATTGCCCACACGTTGTGCCCCTGGGTTTCAGCAGTAATTTGTACCCAGATGTGGGCATGTGCCACCAGACATCTGCGGTCGGCGTCCCCAGGGTCGGGGGCTGTGACAGTCGGGCCCCCTCACTCCCTGTGACTGTCCAGTGCCCTCTTGCTGTCATTTGGTATCGTCACTGTGGCATATTCATTCACTTAAGTGCTTCTAGGAAAAACAATTCCATGTGATCCATGCTTTAATTTTTTAAAGAGTGCTTTTAACCCTCAAAAAGAAAAATCGGCTTGTTTTGTATATAAGAACTGTTTTTTTATTACTAATAAATCAAGCACCATCCGTGAGTCAGTTTTGGAGTTTGTGTTCTGCACAGTCTGCAAGTGGAGTCTCTTCAGGGTGCTGGTGGGAGAACCCCGTCGTCCCGGGGCCTTCACGGGCAGGAGCCTCCGCTGCAGCGGGTTCGGTGCCTGCCCCCCCCCCCAGCCGCTGCCGCCCAGGAAGGACGACCTCCCCAAGTAGAGGGACGTGGCACCCGTAACACTGTCATCAGCTCTCGTTAGCATGTTCCACACATACACGCATGTAGGGCATCCTGTTGACATGCAGAGCAGTTGGCAACGGGCCTCTGGGCACCGTGGGTTATTCGAGTACTGGGGAGAACGCTCCAGGACCTCCCTTCCTCTTTACGGGACACTTTGGCCTGTTTTCAGTTTCTGTAAACACACTGATTGGTGTGTGCCTGGTGGGAGGACTCTGAAACTGCCCGGAATGCCCTGTACTGATGCCCTAGGGGTTGGGCTTTGTCGCCACCAGGGGCGGCTTGTTGAAAGTGACCGAAGGGCCCTCCTGACGAGCTTAAAACAGACCTTTAGTGTGGAGTTGTACCTGGAACCCGTAGGGCCTTCCTCCAGCCTTTGTTCTCATGCTGATCGAAATTTCCCTCGAACCTCCTCTTTTCCCGCTTCCAGCAATAATTTGGTACCTACAAGGATCAGTTGAAGGCCGGGCGAGGCGGCTCACGCCTGTAATCCTAGCACTCTGGGAGGCCAAGGCAGGCGGATTGCTCAAGGTCAGGAGTTCAAGACCAGCCTGAGCAAGAGCGAGACCCTGTCTCTACCAAAAATAGAAAAAATTAGCCGGGCATGGTGGCACCTGCCTGTAGTCCCAGCTACTCGGGAGGCTGAGGCAGGAGGATCGCTTGAGCCCAGGAGTTTGAGGTTGCTGTGAGCTAGGCTGACGCCATGGCACTCTAGTCCGGGCAACAGAGTGAGACTCTGTCTCAAAAAAAAAAACAAAAAAACAATAGACTCAATTGAGGAATGATCCCATTTGCACATTCCTTGTTTTCACAGACTGGACGTTCCGATGTGTGCATCCCCGGAACTGCCCGTGTGCCATGTGGTCTCAAAGCCCTTGCTTCTATGCCCCATGTTGCGCTTTTGTTTTAGGGGAGAGGCCAAGGCCCACTGTTCCCAGGTCCCCCGTGTGGGAGGGGGCTGCAGACAGGAGCCGTCCAGGAGGGGTGGCTGCCTGTGTGTCCGCAGCCGCCTCCTGGTGCCCCTGCACGTCCAGGCCCGGCAGTGCAGCTGTGTCACGGGACGCGGAGGTGCTGCTGAGTAAACAGGTGTGTGCCCACCCTGCAGGGTCTCAGGTGGACAGCGTGTTACTGAATCAAGCTCTTTGCAAGGCTGTTAAGTATTAAGACTGTCCATACAAAAGAAGAGGTCTCCATAAATCCGAAGGAAACTTTCTAATAAAGGGTCACAGCCCGCAGGCTGGCAAGCGGACCTCCAGCCCAAACCGGAGGCAGCACTCTGAGAGAGGGAGCACAGGACAGAAATGTTTATGTGGAGTGGGTTGGCCAAGTATGCATGTTAACATTTAACAGGATATAGAAGGAGCTGTGAATATTTACAAAGGGGAGTCCCGAAGCATGTCTATTGAACAAACATGTGTCCTGTGTTTGCTCTGGGGTGGAGACTAAGATTTAAATGCATTAAAATTAGGGCCTGCACGTCAAAAGGTGAAGCAAGGACGGGAAGAAGACGCTCCGTGCAGCCTCCACAAACCAGCCAGCGCCGGCCCACGGGCAGTGCTCTCTTATCAGGCGAAAGTTACTAAAATCAGTTTCTCTCGCAGTCAGCGCCCTAGTGACGCTGGTGGAGCGGGCGGGCCGGCGCCGGCAGCGTGCAATTGTTCCCACAAGCTGTCTCCCGGCCGGGGCTTCAGTAGCTGCTAGAGAAAAGGAAGAGCCCGGTGGCGGTGAGAACACAGCTTACTCTTTAAATGTAGGGGCGCATGACTTAGCCCTGGCCTCGCGTGGCCTTAGGTCCTCTTTATAATTTGCCACAAAGAGTCCGCCCCATCTGTCTTGTGATTTCTACTTTAATGTCGGTCAGGTGCTGTGTCTGAACTGCAGAATCCAGGGGCTATGACAAGGCATGTCCAACCTCCCGTCCCGTCATGGGCGGAAACTCCGTTTTTAAGGTTTCTCTGAGGTCCCTTGGCCCAGAGTGGGTCTTGGGTCTGTATGGGTGTTAGGATTTTATTTTTGATTCTTAGGACCTAGAGGTGAGTCACACCCAAAGAGCTCCTCTCCCTCCCTAGGGAGGGGGGCCAGGGGTCCATTTCACTCAACGCAAAGAGTGGAGGGAGGCCGGGTTTTCAGAGGTGTCCAGTCCTCTGGGGGTAGGTCCTCCTGGGCCAGAGCACCCCTAAAGTCCTGGTAGAATAGGAACGGGGGCGGGGCAAAGGCCACAGCCCTGGCGGTTAGTGTTTGATGCTCTCCACCCAAGTCCCCGTATAGGGGAGAGGGTCTCCCTCAGGGGAGGAGTCACCCTTATTTTATCTCTTGCTATGCATTTGGGTGGTCAGATAGCAGGTTTGCTCAGCTCGAGATATGTTTGCACTGGAAAATCAGGCAAGAAATCTAAATATTAGCACTTTATCTGCTCGTATGAAAACATAGACAGTATTGTCCTCTCAACAGCCCCCCCCAAAATTAAGGAAAGGGCCTGTTTAAAAGGAGCAGGGGAGTAAACGGCCCAAAACCCACGATCGGTATCTGCAAATAACCACCAGGTTTATACCCAGGCATCGCTGCTGGAGGGGATGGGGGACACGGTACAGTATTTGTGAAATCTTTGAGGCTTCTGGAATTTCCTGTACTGAGTATGAGAAACCATTTATTCTGGCTATAATTAAAAGATAAAGGGTTACTAAGCAAATACAGAACTATGGATGAAAATATACATCTAAAGTAAGAAGTTTTACTTCTAGTACTAGTTTTAAAACAACCCAGCACCTAAAATAATGATCAGTAAAGTGATACGAAACTTTGTTTTTTAACTTTTAATTTCCAAGTTGTGTTGTTTTGTTTTGTTTTGTTTTTTCTGAAAGAGTCTCGCTCTGTTGCCCGGGCTGGAGTGCCATGGCATTGTCATAGCTCACTGCAACCTCAAACTCCTGAGGTTCAAGCGATCCTCCCACCTCAGCCTCCCAGAGTGCTGGGATCACAGGCGTGAGCCGCTGAGCCCAGCCTTTTTTCTCCTTTCAAATGTCCGTGAAAACTGATTTGTTGCCCTAAATGTTTGGATCACCTCTTCTGTGATTGTTCTGATGCGATTTGAGATTTTGAAAGAACACAGTATGAAGACGAGAAGAATGATCTCTGTCGTTTTCCTTTCATTTTTCAACCATCCATTTTGTGTGTTGTGATCTCAAACACAAAAACTCCTTTTTTTTTCTCAGCATGTAAAAAGTTCAGTGTGGAAACCTGTTAGAAAGAGGAATGTCGCAGAATGTATAATCACTGGAGTTCCTATGTGACTCGTGCACACGTGGAGAAAGTCAGGGCCCAGCCTGTGGGGTCAGGCGCGGCTGGCCTCGTGCCTCCCAGCACCGCACCCACCCCCAAGGTGGTTCAAGCCCGGGGCCTTCCCTTGGGCCTTGATTTTCCCGTCTGAAAATAGAGCCCCGTTAGTCAGAACTGCCCCAGTTGTGACGCTCAGACAAGGTAACTGCATCAAGGCCCTTTGAAAACTACGTGAGGGCAGAGAAACGGAGAGGCCACGGCACACGCCAGGGCGTGGGATTGGGAGCCTGAGCTGGAAACACAGTTACGGAATTTTGGGGAAGCGGGACATGTATGTTAATTATCAAGAGTGTTTGGGTTTTTCACCTTTTCACTTATTCCATTTAGAATAAATGTATGGGCCGGGCGGGGTGGCTGACGCCTGCAATCCTGGCACTCTGGGAGGCCGAGGCAGGCAGATTGTTTGAGCTCAGGAGTTCGAGACCAGCCTGAGCAAGAGCGAAACCCTGTCTCTACCAAAAATAGGAAAAATTAGCCAGGCATGGTGGCGCATGCCTGTAGTCCCAGCTACTCGGGAGGCTGAGGCAGGAGGATTGCTTGAGCCCAGGAGTTTGAGGTTGCTGTGACTGAGGCTGACACCACGGCACTCTAGCCAGGACAACAGAGTGAGACTCTGTCTCAAAATAAAAAGAAAGAATAAATGTATGGAGTATAACTTTGCAGTAAGTAACAAGCAGCTGTTACAGAAACTGCATTTTATTGGACAGGATCAATGCAAGCATTTCAGCGCCCAGCTGTGATGCCAGAACCAACTCCAAAGGGTCCTTGCGTGGCCACACGTTCTGTTGGTTGGTTGGTGACTCCACCCTGGGCCCCGATACCACTCTCAGCCCAAAAGGAGGGGTAAAGCGGCCCGGCTACAGCAGCACAGGTGCCCGCAGTTCTAGGCTGGGGAAGAGCAGTCATTTGGGATGATGGCTTCATCCTGCCCTGGACTCGCTAACTGGCCTTTCAAAACCAGCTGCCAGGGAAGGAATTCATTCTTATCAGTGTGTTTAGAAACTGGGTTAATGAGGCATTCTTCTTCTAGCTCAACAGAGGCAAACACAGAGGGGTTACTGGCATTTTGGCATTTCAAACGAAGGACTGCAAAAACTTATTTTCAAAGTTTGATGTCTGGAGTCTCCACGGGTTTCCCGGCTGGGGAGGAAGACGTCACACAGATCTGGGCTGCACGGTCAGCTTTGTATCTTTTTTATTAAACATATTTTTTTCCTGGAAGCCATTTCCATTCCAAATTAGACATTAAGAATGTTGCCAAAATGTTTACTTCTGTGTATTAATAATAAAAAATTTATAATGGAGACATAACCAGTCATGATGTTTAATTTCTTCCCTAATTCATGAGTAGAATCCCCAGGGATAAAATCTCTATAAATGAGGTATCATTGATGGCAGGTAAGAACGATTTCTTCTAGTTTTGACACTTTATAAATTTCCTATAATGAGCACACCTTGCTCTTATAAAGGAAAGAAATCTATGCCTGCAAGATACATGCTGTCGCAGGTAACATTGGTTTTTTTTATGGAGGACCCTGGAACTCACAGTAAACTCTGACTGAGGACTAGAGATAAAAATCCTCTTAATGTAGTTAATACCTTCACCTTAGAAAAACACAAGTGAATCCTTGCCTGTTTTTTTTTTTTTAATCTTTTTTTGAAATTTAAAAATAACCATAGAGACCCCCATGTCCCCACGACTTGTCATCATCAACAGTGAAAGGCATTTGCCAACCTTGTTCCTGCCCCTGCTAGGGGACTGAGGTGTGTACCTGGACTGGATGGAAGACAGCCCCAGCCCTCATCCATACCCCAGTAGGGCACTCCACGCCCCGAGGGGCCTTGCAATGTCGGTGGATCTCAGGGTGCTTTGGGACAACAGGCACTCTGCCCGTAACTGGTCAAGCGTATAATGGTAGCTCCCAAACAAAGACAGCTGGGGGACTTCTCCACCAATGTTCCCGGAGTTCTGGCTAAGATCTGTCCTGGGACCCCACAGCCCTGCTCTGTCATTACAAATCTCAGACAAGACAGGAATTCAGGACATGATGCTTTTAATGGAAAGTCAACCATGAGCATCTTTTCCATGTACGTCTTAGATATCAAATAGAGAAAGCAGGGCTTCACGGCTTCGTTTGCATATTTTTCTATTCCAGGGAGGAAAAATGTTTTCAGGGAAAACAGCAAAGTGTGTTCCTTTACACCTGGGCAAACTGTCAAGCATCAGGGACAATGATTCCAAAAGACCCCCGGAGAGCCAAAAGACCCCTCACTCGCAGACGGATGGCTTGTTGACATTGTAACTGGGGTGGAAGTTGAGCGGGTCGAAGGAGGTAATATAGTTGTCGGGGCCAGTCACGAGGCTTTTGTCCATGTACACGTTCAAAGTGTTGTCCCGGAACATTCCACAGGCTGCAAGTTGTCTGGAAAATTTATACGTTTTTGGATAAAATGCTTTCTAAAAGAGAAAGGGAACACTAAGATTAATGACGCATGATATTAGTAATACTCGAGCAATCAACTGGATAATTTTGGAAGAAAAATAAGAATTTTTAAGAAAATGCAGAGAAGCCAGGGTGGGCAAGATGGCCTGGTTTGCCCCAGACCATCCCAATTTATGCTGAGCATCTGGGATTAACTATGAATAGTGCCCCCTTTCACTACTGTGTGGATAGCAGGATCAATTACAGGGCCACCTGGTGTGGCATTTCTGTGCCTGGATGTGTTGTGAGCATTCACTTGGGGGTCAGGCTTGGAGTCACCCCCAGATCTGCTTTCCCTAACTGTGCTACTCTGGGCAAGTTACTGGACCACTCTGAACTTCAGTTTTCTCTTCTGTAGAATAGAAATATCACCATTACGGTATCAGAAAGTAATTTCCTCCAGTGCATTTTTCAAAATGCAAAGCACTTTTACTCTGTTCCCACAGGGAAGGTAAACAGCAATAGCTGCTCGCCGAGTCCAGCTTCCACACTTGGTCCCGAAACTGGAAAACGGGTTCCAGATGGCGCAGGAGAAACCTCCTTGAAGATGTGCCCCGTGAGCTCTCATGCTCACATCCCACTGCCTGATGACACCGGGGACTAGAAAGCCCCCACGGTTTACAGCAGGAACAGTTTCTCAATGGCCTTTTATAAAAGCGAAAGCATCTGTCCCCTGCGAGCGTGCTGGCCTTTGTCACAGAAATACCTGGTTCCCAGGGAACACTCAGAATCGTCCAACGCTGGGAGGGTGACCCGCAAATGCCCCAGAAAGTGTTCAGATGAATAATCTCACAAGAGCCCACTCACTCATGCAACACGACATTACCAGATCTTTTAAAATGATGAATTTTTTGGGAAAAAACACACACACACAACATTCTCACCCCAAAACGGGTGGCCCTAGTGTCACGGGTGGCAGGGGACGCTATGAGGGTCCATCTGGCCCTTCACCTGGACACGCGGGGGGTGGGGAGGCTCTAGGAGGGAGACCCTGGAGTGTAAGGTCAAGCTCAAACAGGGGTTGGGCTCCCCCAGGCGCGCAAGTCCCTCTGCCCACCAGTGTGCCTTCCAGCAATGTGCTGTGGCTTCCCACACTACCTCTGAGGTCACAACATCTCATAAAGTACAGTAGAATTCCAGAAAGGAAGGAGCTCTTCTTCCCTTAGCTGCCTCAAAACCGACTGCCTTGAGGTGCAAGGGACGGTTGTGCGCATGTGTGAGTATTACATGTATGGCTGGGTGTGGGGACCAGGGTGACGTGAGCAAGCCTATATGCACTTTGCTCATTCTTCTAAACGTTTCAGTCCTAAAGTCTTCCATTCACTCATTTCTACCCTGCCCTGTCCCAAAATGATTTGAGGTGCCTCCCTCCCCCTTTGTGACATTGGAACTTCGGGGTCCCTCCACCTGTCCCCCTCCCCATGTCCTGCCTTGCTCCCCACTTACGGGCATCTCGTGCACGGTGGGGGCTCTGCTCCCGTACGTCTGGTTACTGGTCCTGTACAGTGAGACAGCCTGCTTGGACCTGGCAGATGAGAAGCACTCTTATTTTCCATTCATTTTTATTCTAATTCCTCCCAAACCACCCTCTTAAAGAATTTGGTTAATGGAGCTTCATTGGAAATGGTCCCCAAGGGAAGCCTGGTAGTGTAGGGCTGACCGTGCTGGCAGGCACCCTCTCCCTGGCCCCTGGCTCACCACTGTCCCTTCTCTTCCCAAGGCAAGCTGAACTGAAAAACAGGTTCCAGATGGAGCCCTACCAAGCACTCTGCTGGCAAATGCTGACCCTCCGCCCCGGCAGGGCCTTGGCACGGGCCGTCACTTCCTGGGTAGGTCAGTCAACCTGTTGGGAGCCCAGGCTCGGCCTGCAGACCCTGGCGCCCTGGGGGGTGCTCCACCTCTGAGCCCCCACCCTCGCTGAGGCCATGCTTCTATCCAGAGTGGGTCAAAAAGCCAAGGTGGCAGCAGTGTGTGACACTGCCCCTACCTGTTAGTACTGTCCCACTCAGCTCACACCACCGGGTCTTGGGCAAGCTGTTCTCTTTCTGCACCCCAGCTGTCTCTACTGGAGAGCCAGGATACTAACAGACCCTCCCCTATAGGACCGTTGAGGGGACGACATGCAAAAGCGCAGCGCAGGGCGGCGCTCACACCTGCCCGGCCATAGCCAAGGGTTCCTTATTATTTTCTTGGAGTCCGCAAGGCCCCGTGACAGCTCGCAGCTGTCTCCACAGCACGATGATGGAGGTGTCGCTGTGCTCACGTCTTGCAGAGGAGCTCAGGCTGGAGAGGAGAGGAGACTCACCCGGTCACACGGTGGGACCGAGACGAGAGCTGGGTTTCTGACTTCCACTGGGGTCACCCCAGCGCCCTGACCTGCACTGACCCCACCATTCATTCATTCATTCCTGCCTCCTGAAGCTGGCGGGAGGGCTCACTGGCGGGTAACAACCGCACAGCCCCAGCGGCCGGCTCGTTCCTTCTGCCACCTGTGGCCAGGACCCTGGGCGTCCGGGGGTGGGGGGCGACCCCTTGCCTGGGGGAGGCCTCGGCCTCTGACCGCTCCCCCTTCCTCACCTGTAGCCCCGGAACCACGCGGGGTTGTTGAACCTGGCGGGCAGGGCCTCGCTCACGCGGTAGCAGTCGCTGGTTTTCTCCGGGGGGACCCTGGGGTCCCGCTGCACAGGATCCCCGCACTCTTGGGGGCTCTCCTCCTCGGACATTTTGCCTGCGGCAGCGCGGGCGCGACGTCCGCCAGCGTCCCGTCGCTAGGCGACGGCCTGGTCACCCGGCCCGGAGGGCGGGGTCCCCAGAGGCGCGGGCGGGGCTGGAGGCTGCCGAGGGGAGGCCCGAACCCCCAGCCCCTGCGGGCGCGGAGCACGGCCGCGGGCGGGACGCGGGCACGTGAAGCCCCCGGGCGCGGGACGGCACCGCAGAGGGACGGGGCTTACGGGCCCAAGTCCGCCAGAATGGGACGCTACCTGCGCACGCCGGGGCTGCCTCCCGACGCCGTGACCGCACGCCCCCGACGCCCCAGCCTAGGTTTGGCCCCAGACTCCGCCGCCTTCAGGGCACCCCCTAAGCCAGGACTGTGGAGACACCCAAACGGTCTGGGGCTGCGAGAGGCTGCGCCGGGCCCGAGGCGGAGCTCGCGCGGCGGGCGGGGACGGCCCCCACGAAGGACGCGGCCCGGCGCGTGTGCGGGAGGCGCGGGGACGGCCCCACGAGGAACGCGGCCCGGCGCGTGTGCGGGAGGCGCGGGGACGGCCCCCACGAGGGACGCGGCCCGGCGCGTGTGCGGGAGGCGCGGGGACGGCCCCACGAGGAACGCGGCCCGGCGCGTGTGCGGGAGGCGCTGGGACGGTCCCCACGAGGGACGCGGCCCGGCGCGTGTGCGGGAGGCGCGGGGACGGCCCCACGAGGGACGCGGCCCGGCGCGTGTGCGGGAGGCGCGGGGACGGCTCCCGGCACGAGGAACGCGGCCGGGCGCGTGTGCGGGAGGCGGCGGGGACGGCCCCACGAGACGCCGGCCGGCGTGTGCGGGAGGCGCGGGACGGCCCACGAGGGACCGCGCCGGCGCGTGTGCGGGAGGCGCGGGGCGCGCGAGTCTCCGGGGCGACGGGCCGCGAGGTAACGCGCAGCCCTGCCCCTTCCGGAGAGCGCGCGCGCCGCGCAGGGGTCCTCCGGGCCTGCAGGCGGCGGTGTGGCCCCGCGCGCGGCGGAAGTGGAGGCCGCCCTGTCGGGCCGGGAGGTGGCCCCGCCCCGCGTCCCCGACATGGCGCCCGCCAGCGCCGCGCTGCCCCGGCTGCTGGGTGCGGGTGAGTGCGCGCCCGGCGGACCCTGGGGCGGGCGCCCGGCGAGGCGCGGGGACGTGGCGGGGAGGGGGACGACGGGGGCCCGGAGGAGGTGCCGGGAGGTGGAGAGGAGGCAGGGACTGGAAGGGGCGCGGGGACGTGGGGGGACCCAGAGGGGGTGGGGACGTGGGGGGGCCCGGAGGGGGTGGGGGACCCGGAGGGGCTTGGGGACAGGGGACAGCCTACCCAGGCCTGGCTGCGCTCTGGACCGGCCGCGCTGGGAAGCCCGGCCTGGGCGCGGCGCCAGGACTCTTGCTTTCTCCGCAGGTGCCTGGCCCCGGTCACGCTGGCTGGGTTTCGTTAAGGCGACCCCCGGGCCGGCTCGGCCGAGCTGCAGGACACTTGGAAGCTCCCCAACCCCTGCGGTCAGCGAGCCCGAGGACAGCAGCGGTAACCTGGGCCCCCCAGCCGACTAACGGGGTGTGGGATGGGATGCGGAGAGTTGCCAGCCGCCAGAGGTCCTGGGTGCCCTTTAGTTAGATGTGAGCCCTGGAGGTTCTGGGCCCCAGGAGAGAGGGGGCGGCAGGCCTCAGTCCTCCTCAGCCCTTCTTGGCATTTTCCAGCTTCCACTGGCACTTAGCGGGTATTGTCCCAGCACCCAGCGGCCCCGCCATGCTGGGCACTGCTTGTGGGGAAGGCAAGGCCCCACAGGTAAAGCAGGGGTTTATAGTCACTCTGTGTCAGACACGTGGGCCTCCCCAGCCTGGCCCCACCCGCTGCCAAGCTCTTGCTGGTGCAGCTCCGGGTCAGTGAACTCCCCTGAATGGGGCTGGGGCCTGCACCTCTTTTGGGGGGTGGATGTGAGAGACTCCAGTGGCCGTCCAGTTGTTAACACAGGACCTAGCTTCTTTGGAAATGCCACTGGGCCACTAAGGCACAGCCCTGAGCTTGGCCCCCTGTGAGCACCAGGCCTGGAGCCCTACCACCTTGCTGGACTCCTGGTGGCAGGGCACCTGAGACCGAATGCCGTACTTGGAAGCCAGAAAGCCTTCAGACCCCAGTGGGCCCTATCCTCTTCTCTGCTTTCCAAGTCAGGAGGCCAAGGGTGGGGTCGACGCAGTTCACCCAGGAGCAAAGTCAGGGGCCATACCTGGCTTCCAGGTCTTTCCTGGGGCTCAGGGCATCTTCGGCTGCTGGGCTTTGCTCCTCCCTCTCCCAGCAGTGCAACAGGAGTGGGCCGGGTGGGAAACTGCAGTGTCCTCTTCTGCGCACTGCCACAGAGTTCAGTGACAAGATTCTGAATGAGCCTCTCAAGCACTCAGACTTCTTCCGTGTCAAGGAACTGTTTTCTGTCAAAAGTCTCTTCGATGCCCGAGTGCACCTGGGGCACAAAGCCGGCTGTCGGCACAGGTAGGTGACACCTGGCGAGTCTGTCCCAGTGGTGGTTCCCAAGAGGGCTTGGGACATCCTGCCCTGGGTCTAGGGCCACTTTTGAGCGGGCCTCTGTAAGTCTTGTTTAAGTGAGTGCAGCCCCCTCCTCCAGCTGGGAGCTCTGACCCCACCACGGGGCTGGGGTTACCCTCCAAACCTGGCTGGGCTCACAGCCCTAAGCAGGGACGGACTTGCAGGGGATGAAGGGCCTCAGAGACCCAAGACCAAGGGTGGGGCCTGTTGGGCTGCAGGGCTGTGAAGCTGGCCATATTCGACTGGGCAGGACCTTGCAGGCTGTCGGGAGAAGGAATGACTGGTCCCGTATTCTTACGTGGTGGTTTTGACTGCTGTGGGGTGCACGGACGGGAGGTGGTGTGGATGTCCGGGGGGGGGTGAGGGCGCTTGACTTCCAGTCGCAGAAGAGCTGGGGCAGTGAGTGGACACAAGGCAGTGGGGGCCCTTGAGTGGGGCTGGAGGTGGGTGCGGCAGCAGGGACCTTGGCCTTTGGTTCAAACCCTTTGGCCGTCCCCATGGAGAGGCCATGTTGGTACTAGGAGGGACCCACCAGGCTCTGAGCTCTTGGCATAGAAGGATGTTTCTAGAGCTCCTGGGGAGAAAGTCCGGGATGGGACCCCCAGGGTTGCAGGGTTTGGAGCCAGGGAAGAGGAAGGGCAGGGGGGGGGGGCGTGGTCCTCTGTTGATGCTGCCAGGATGTGACCTTGGCAAGACAGAGGTCACCCTTGGTAAGCAGTTGAGAGGAAGGGACACAGCCCAGCGGGAGTGGACTGGAGGTGAGGACCCGGGAACTGCTAGTGTGGACCACTCACTGCCAGGCACGGAGGCATGGCCATCTTTTGTGCCCCACTGTTCCTCGGCCCAGGCCAGCAGCCGTCCTGTGCCCTTGGGGTTCCCCTCCCCGGCGCGGCAGGCTCCTGCCCTGATACCCGCGATGCTTTGGGCCCAGAGCACCTCCCTCCCCCATTCTGGTCCCGCAGCCCAAGCCCAGAGGGGCCTTGTCCATAAGGCCTGGAGTGACAAGTAGCATCTGCATGCACCACATCCGATAGACTGTCCTGTCACTGTCATTTTTATTTTTATTTTTTTGAGACAGAGTCTCACTCTGTTGCCCAGGCTAGAGTGTGGTGGTGTCAGCCTAGCTCGCAGCAACCTCAGACTCCTGGGCTCAAGCAATCTTCCTGCCTCAGCCTCCCGAGTAGCTGGGACTACAGGCATGCGCCACCATGCCCGGCTAACTTTTTCTATATATATTAGTCGGCCAATTAATTTCTTTCTATTTATAGTAGAGACAGGGTCTCACTCTTGCTCAGGCTGGTTTCGAACTCCTGACCTCGAGCTGTCTGCCCGCCTCAGCCTCCCCGAGTGCTAGGATTAAAGGTGTGAGCCACCACGCCCAGCCTCACTGTCATTTTTAAACATCCAGACCTTCGTGTGGCATCAGTTCTGTTAAGATCTCCGCAAGAGTCGGTGAAGGGTCGGAGGGGTTAAGCCTGTGCCCAAGGCACATAGGTGGCCCCACGACCTGCTCTCCCAGACCGTCACACCTGGGCGGAGGTCCTCACTGCCATCTGTCCACATGGGGAGTATTTCAAATTGTGCCTCTCAACTGTAGTGCCCCTGCAGAGGAGCCCATGTCCCCGGTGGGTGTCTGTACAAGGTCAGGGGTGGAACTGGCTCTCTGGCCCTCATGGCTCTTGCCTGGCTGGGGTCTCTGGCAGGTTTATGGAGCCATACATTTTCGGGAGCCGCCTGGACCAGGACATAATTGACCTGGAGCAGACAGCCGTGCACCTCCAGCTGGCCTTGAATTTCACCGCCCATGTGGCCTACCGCAAGGGCATCATCTTGTTTGTGAGCCGCAACCGGCAGTTCTCGAACCTGATCGAGAACGTGGCCCGTGACTGTGGCGAGTACGCCCACACCCGCTACTTCAAGGGCGGCCTGCTGACCAACGCGCCCCTCCTCTTCGGCCCCATGGTCCGCCTGCCGGACCTCATCATCTTCCTGCACACGCTCAACAACGTCTTCGAGCCCCACGTGGCCGTGAGGGACGCGGCCAAGATGAACATCCCCACTGTGGGCATCGTGGACACCAACTGCAACCCCTGCCTCATCACCTACCCCGTCCCTGGCAACGATGACTCGCCCCCGGCCGTCCACCTCTACTGCAGGCTCTTCCGGACGGTCATCAGCCGGGCCAAGGAGAAGCGGAAGCAGGTCGAGATCCTGCATCGGCTGCAGGGACAGCAGGGGGCTGGGGGCCGGGGGCCAGACCCACCTGAAGGCCCCCAGGGTAGGCCTCAGCCGCCCTCCTCCCAGACCAAAGAGTGGCCAAGCCCGTCTGCGCTGGGCATCCCCTCCCCAGCCCTGGGGCCCCAGCATTTCTAGTGCTGGGCATCTGGGTCCTTGTTGTGGGTGACAGTACCCGGCTGGTTCCCACCACGCCCATCCAGGTTCCACTCCAGACCCAGGGCCAAGTAGGCCATCGGTATTTTTTTCTGTGAGGAGCAGACCACGGGGCAAGCAACACGTCCAAAACAGCTGCTTCCCTGCAGTTAGGCCTCGGGCCGACACCCCGCTGCGGGCGTGGCCCCGGGCCGACACCCCGCTGTGGGCGTGGCCCACCCGTGGGGAGACACGGCTCTCCCTGTAATCTGAGCAGCCCAAGCTTCCGCCCTGACATCAGACCTCCGTTAGGGAGGTCGCCTGCCGCTCCAGACACCCGGCGTGGGGCTGCTTCCCTGCCTACCTCCGGGGGCTGTTTTATGACGTGATGTCGCAGGCAAACCTCTCAGAAGCTCCCAGCTGGGTTGGGACCAGCCTGGCCAAACAGATGGTCTGATCCCAGCAGAAATAAAACCTAGATTTGGCAAAATTTGACTTGGAGCTTTGAGTTCTGCCACGCTTGGGTTTGCCCTCATTGGTGTGACGTTTATCAGACACCCACGGGGCCCCAGGGCACACAAGAAGTGTCCCTGCCCTGGGGACGGGGCAGACGGTCTGTGAGGTGACTTGATGAGGGCAGCACTGGGGCACACGACAAGCCCCGGCGCAGCCAGGCCGGGAGGCAGTAGCAGAGTGTTCACAGAAACAGGCTCGGTGTGCCCCAGAGCGTTGAGGACAGACCGAGGGGTACTTGCTGACAAGATGCTTAGTATTCCCTTGTGTAAGGACACAGTTCTGTGCCTGGAATAGGCGGCCACTGTCGTCTTTCAGGGCCCCTTGTGCTGCCTAGGTGACCGCCCCGAGGAGCCTGTCCCTGGGGAGCACCGGGGCAGCAGGGTCCGTGGGGCCTCCAGGCGGGGCCCTCGTGTGGCCAGGTGTGGAGCCTGTGCCTGCCCCCACCTGCCCTGCAGGAGCAGCATGCGAGCAGGGGGGTTTGGAGTCCGATGTCTGCCTGTCTCAGTGCAGGTTGGGCACAGTGTGGTCCTCGGCGGTGTCGGGGGTGCCCGGGTTCAGGATCCAGAAGGTCCGGGGAGCTGCGCTCTAGTGTGGACTTGCCAGCTGGCCAGCGTGGCTTTCATCTGCAAACCTGACATCTGAAGGTGCAGCTTTGCAGGTGGGTAAACTGAGCGGTCGCTCCAGGGCTCTCCCCTGACAGAATCCTCTGGGGCGTGCAGACGCAGTTTCCCTGAGCTGGGCCCCCACAGAGCTGGGGAGCCAAGGCCCTGCAGTGAGACAGCAGTTCGACTCAGGCAGAACTTACTGCTTGGTGCTTCCAGTAGGTGCTCCTGGAACTTGAACTGGGCCTCCCCTGAGAGAGGCCCTTGAAACCGAGGGTCCGAGCCAGCCCATAGTAGCAGGCCTGGCACAGACCTTCCCTGCCAAGCCACTCAGGGAGGGGCCGGGGCAGGACCAGGAGAGACGCAGTAGGGCACAGGTGCTGATGAGGGGTGGAGGTAGCTCTGCCCTCTGGTCTTTGCTTTAGGGGCTGGGTGGACGGAGCAGCCCTCGGAGTGCTCGACAAACCAGGGGTGCCCTGCGAGGAGGAGAGTGGAGAGTCAGGGCCGCAGACCCCGGCAGGCTCCCTGGAGCCCCACCACTGCTCCATACGCTGCCCACGGATCCGGGCTGGTGGCTGGCCTGGCCCCCTCTCCATCTGCTGATGGTTCCACCGGACCCTGCACTGGACATGGCCAGTGAGGAACCACTAAGCTTGCTGTGCTTCCAGCTCTGGGGGGTCGGGTGGGACAGGGGTGGCCCAGCCGAGGGTGTGACCCAGCAGGCACCAATGAGCCAGACCACTTCAGGAGTAGGGAGTGACAGGGAAGGAGCAGACTGATGGGGACAGAGACTGTCAGAGGACAGGACTGTCAGAGGACTGTCTGGGAACAGACAGAGACTGGGGCCGCTTCTGAGCAATGGGGTGCCCGGCTGCGGGCTCAGAGGGCTCTGGGCGAAACGGGAAGAGGCCTGAGCGGGGGACGGCCTCCAAGTTTGCCCCCCAGGAGGTGAACACAATGTGTGTGTTTGTTTTCAAAGACTGACAAGTTGATCTTAGAATTCATGAGATGCCAAAACAGTCTTGCCGAAGAATAAAGTTGGAGGCCTCACGCTCCCCATTGCAGAACTTACTAGAGAGCTGCGCCCTCCTAGCTCGAGGATTGGCACGTCCGTCCGTGTGCAAGCCAGAGCCCAGTCCCGAGCCTGGCACTACCACGGTCCACTGGTTTTGACAAGGTGCCAGGGCAGTTCGCTGGAGTCACAAATGCTGCTGGGATAATTGTATGTCACTCAAAAGATTTATTCGTACCTCACAGAATACCAAAGAATTAACTCAAAATGATCATGAATCTACATGGTAGAGCCAAAGCTATACACTTTCCAGAAGAAAACAGAAAATGTTCATGCCTTTTGAGTTTGCCAAAGTTCTTACATGCATCAGCGAAAGCATAACCCATAAGAAAAGACTGTACTTCGTCAAAATCTAAAACTTTTGTGATTCACATAAAACACCATTACAAAAGCGAAAGATCCAGAAGGGATTCTGCTCCTTAACTGAGACGAAGGAAGGAGAGAGAACTTAAAAATATTCTCAGAACAAAAAGAGCCGTTTTATAAAGAACTGCCTGCTATTGGGAGCTGGGGCAGAGTTCAGGCTGAAGTTCTCGACTGAGGAATAACGGCTTAGTGCCCACCCAGTGCTGGGGTGGTGTCAGCAGTAACACCTAGGAGCTCACCCGTCCCAGAAAGCAGAAGGAGGGAGGGAGGGAAGGCAGGAAGCCCTGAGAATGGGGGTGAAGAAAGCTCTGGCTCCCTGGGGCCTACAGAAGGGAGGTTGTTGAACTGACCTTGGAAGGTCTGGACCGGCCTGGTCCCCCGTCTGGCAGGCGGCGCCAGGGGCTTCGAGCTGGCCACCAGTTTCACTTCCTCACAGCCCCACGACCTGAAGCCAGCGTGCAGAGATGTCACTGTCGGCTTTCCATGGATACAGTGGCCTGCACGATGGCTTGATACCCTTCCCCATGGAACGGCCAAGCTGGCAGGGCCATCGTGTACAGTTGTCACTGCCGGCTTTCCCTGGGCACAGTGACCTGCACGATGGCTTGATACCCTTCCCCACGGAACGACCAAACTGGTGAGGCCATCGTGTACAGATGTCACTGCCGGCTTTCCCTGGGCACAGTGACCTGCACGATGGCTTGATACCCTTCCCCATGGAACGGCCAAGCTGGCAGGGCCATCGTGTACAGTTGTCACTGCCAGCTTTCCCTGGGCACAGTGGCCTGCACGATGGCTTGATACCCTTCCCCATGGAACGGCCAAGCTGGCAGGGCCATCGTGTACAGTTGTCACTGCCGGCTTTCCATGGGCACAGTGACCTGCACAATGGCTTGATACCCTTCCCCATGGAACGGTCAAGCTGGCAGGGCCATCGTGTACAGATGTCACTGCCGGTTTTCCCTGGGCACAGTGGCCTGCACAATGGCTTGATACCCTTCCCCATGGAACGGCCAAGCTGGCGAGGCCAGTGAGCACGCAGTGTTGATGTTGGCTGTCCACAGGTATAGTGACCTGCACAATTGTTTGAGGTGGGGCCCTAAACGTTTTGAGACAAGCGTGCTTCGCCTCTGATGTTTAAAGGTCAGTTGCTGCAGGTCTGAAGACACAGCCCGCTGCTTGCCAAGGTGCCTTGTGCTCTGTGGCCGTCCCGAGGTCCCACCCCCACCCCCGACCTCTCGCTGCTGCCCAGCAGCGTGCTCCCCGTGACACTCAAAGCAGCTGTCACTCCCCGTCCCCTGACACCCCCATCCCCCACCCCCATCCCCCAGCCGTCACTATCCCGTCCACAGCACAGCTGGCTCAGGCACACGTGACACCCACGCCGGGCACCGTGCTCGGCCTCATACTGCTGGGTCAGCCTGGCCAGGCGTCAGCCCACGTGGCTGGGGTCCAGGGTCATACGGGCGTCCCTGGTGTCGTTGAGGACCTGGGTGCCCCCTGCCTCTCTCCCTGAGGGTCCCAGGGTGGGCCCGTCCCCATGGGGGCACTTGCCAGGGTCTCGGGTGCCCCCTGCATATTTCTTCTCAGGCCTCTCTCCCTGAGGGTCCCAGGGTGGGCCCATCCTCACAGGGGCTCCTGCCGGGGTCTCAGGTGTCCTCCCCCCCATGTTTCTTCTCAGGCCTCCCGGCCTGTTCCGGAGCAGTCGCAGACCAGAGAGCCGGCCACACCAGCCCAGTGCGACTCGCCGGAGCACGGCCCTCGTCCCCCAGTCCCCCAGGACTCGGTCTGTGTGGGGTGGAGGGAGGGGCGGGGGGCCGGATCCTCCCGCGTCCCCGACGGCCCTGACTTCCTGCGAGAACAGCGTCCCGGTGTGCGCACCTGTCCAGGTACTGCTGGGGCCAGTCTCACTAGGCCTGCGAGGTGCCCGGAGCCCCCCAAGAGTGCACGACGCACACGGCAGAGACCAGCCTCCCTGCAGGACGCTGCCGGCCACAGATTAAACGGGGAGCAAATGAGACAGGGAGAATTGTCCCAAATTAATTAAATACCCAACGGCAGCCCAGTAAGGCCCTAAGGAGTTTTTATTTCGGGGGGGGGGATGTGACATAGAAAATTTGTATTTTTTGCTTTTTTATAGGGGGTGGGATGGGAAAGAGGGAACTGGATACAGAGGTTTCTGTATTTTTTCTTAAAAATGTAAAATTGTCTATAACACAGATACACTGTGCTCTCCTTGGTGCCAAGCCTTTCTGATGTGGTCACACAGGTGACCGAGGAAGTGCAGAAAGCTCAGAAGCAGGAGCTAAAACCCTCACGTGTCCCCCACGCAGGGGGCGGCCCCTCCGTCAGCCCCCGGTTCCTGGTAGGGACGTTTGACCGACAGTCACAGCTGCGGCTCAGAAACCAAAAGCAGAAGGAGGAGAGAGACAGAGACCTTTTGAGGAGGGGGCTCTGCAGACCCCCAGCTGGGCGTGGGCCCAGGGCCGCCCCGCCCCGCGCATCTCAGCCCGGGGCCACGGGGAGGGGGGGAGGCGTTCCCCCAGCGCTTCTCAGCCCGGGGCCGAGGGGCAGCGCGGGCGAGGGGAGATGGGGCTTCTGCCTGGTGCCGGGTGTGAGTCTGGGGTCCGTGCCGGCCCCTGAGCGAGCTCGGCCCCTCCTCACCCTCCAGCCCGGCCTCCCTCTCCCGGGGAAGAGGCGCAGAACGCAGCTCCCCACGAGAGTGTAAGCCTGGCACCAACCGTCTACGGCAGCCTCTCCGAGCCCTGTCACCTGGACGCACCTTCCTCCGAATCAGACAGCTGCACAGACGTTAGCATCACGCCCACCCAGAGAGGGGCTTCCTGGTGCTCACCTGGGCCAGGGTAGGTGCCAGGTGCAGGGACAGCAGGACGTGCCCCCCAACATGTCTCATGGGCTGAAGGCCCCACCTCGGATGT